GCCATGCGTCGGCAAGTCGCTTGCGAAATGTTTATTGTTTGAAGCTTTCCGAAGACCTTGTCGAAAAAATTATATCTCCGGTTATATTTGACACAAATCGTTCATTCAAACAGTAAAATGCACTTTCTTTAGCCAAAGAATTATTTATCAAAGTTTCTACGGCGCGCTGCTCACGTTTAATTATATTTTTCTTCAAGGAAAAGTTCCGTGTTTAGCCATGCGTCGGCAAGTCGCTTGCGAGCTGTTTATTGTTTGAAGCTTTCCGAAGACCTTGTTGAAAAAATGATATTTCCGGTTCTATTTGACACAAACCGTTCATTCAAACAGTAAAATGCTCTTTCTGACGAAAGAATTGTTTATCGAAGTTTCTGTGTCGCGCCGCTCACGTTTAGTTATTTTTTTCTTCAAGAAAAAGTTGTGTGTTTGTTTGTGTATGCAAAATCTTCATTGTCTGAAGCGTTCCGCGAGTTCTATTTGACACAAATCGATCATTCAAAGAATCGTTTATCAAAGTTTCTATGGCGCGCTGCCCACATTTACTTATTTTTACTTCAACGAAAAGTTCTGTATTTCGCCGGGCACGTGTCGCTCAAAATGTGTTCATTGTCGATTCAGCGGCAAAATATCCTTTCTTTTAATAAATATTCAGTCAGTTAAATATTCAGCCAAGTGTAAAACGTTGTTTCAGCCGAGTCAAGTCTCACTCAAACAGTCACTCCTTTTTTAACACATTGTTTTCATTTGTTTTCACAGTTTTTATAAGCGAAACAATCGTATTTAACTTAACATTAATTCCCAGTTATTGTTCTGAAAATAGGAATGAAACAGAACAACTCAGTCCTAAATTATTTTATTGAACTTACAATGTTATTTACTTACAATATAAAAGTCCGAACTCATTTTATTTAACTTACAATGTTATTAACTTAGGAAAAAAATGCATCTATTGACAAATTTATTTGAGCGAAAAGAGCCTGCATTACATTTACGTTAATTCTAAT